AGGCATCTGGAAGGCACCTGCAGGACCCGCCCAGTCGCTCTCACGGACTCCCCAGGCAAGTCGGGGTGACAAGCGAGCGCTGGCGACTGCCAGATAGGGGGGGGGTGAGGAAATATTGGAAAGATAGAGGGAATTTTAAACTATCTGGAGGGAACTGGAAATGTGTCACGTGTGCTGGGAAAGTCAATAAATAATAAAAAAAAATACTAACAAAGTAAAATGCTAAAAAAACAAAACAGTGACTGATATACTGCGGGGTCGCAAAGGACAGTGAGGCAAAAAGACAGGCAGCAAGGTGGACGCCAACAAGCCACCTAGAACGCTAAAAATAAAGTTGAGGTCAAACACTATTGACATTCTGTCCAGCCCATAAGTACCGGTCTGCTGGATTTACAGCCTGCTAATGACCTCGTGTAAACTGGAGGATGCAATTTCGCACTGTGACGAGAGGGGAATTCCCCCCCCCCTCCGAAGCGTACACGCAGACACATAGGCAGGCCCTGTACAGACAGACGCAGCCTCGGTTTGGCCCCGCGGAGACCTTCTCGGCCCAAAGATGGCCGCCCTCATCCTGTCATTGGCTAACTGGATGTCTGGGCCGTCACGCAGCAGCCTGGCAAACGGTGCGGCTCGGCTGTGGCAAACAGCTGGCCAGATGTGCAGCTCTGCAGCTCCCTCCCAGCTGCCGGCCGCTGCCTCGGCGGCCAGGAAGAGCGAGTGAGAATGTAACCGTGTGGCGTTAAGCAAAAGCTACTTGTCCAAAGCCTGGTATGTGGGATGCGGAGGGTGGGGGGGGGAAGCAGGGGGTAACTGTTTTGTTAATTGGCCTTTGGTTTTCATGAAACAAAGTCAGCAAATTGGCGTCATAAAGTCAAACGCCCCCCAGAGAGACGTGGCTATTTAGGATTTAAGAAAATGAACGTGAAGGGAGAGCCAAATTTATGAGGGCAAGTTCTCCTCCAAGGATAACATGTGGGACGGGTTAGGGTTATGGCGGAGGAATGCCATTGAAGATCCGGGTAGGATCGCTTTCTCAATGGCTGTGGAAAAACGTAAATCCTGACGCAGAAATCCCCAGCGTAAAGACGCATCAGGTTGATGCAGGGAAACAGTCACCGGGCCGCTCCGGAGGCGGTGCCTAGCCGAGATTCAGTCATTCTCCGTTCAAGTTTGTTGGAGGGTCCTCAAAACTACACTAGGTGCCCACTGTAATGCCTGACCAAAATCCAGGCAACACTATAAATGATCCCTGTTTAGCTGCCAGTCAATTATTTGTGTTTTATAGACCTGACACGATGGAGATTAAGGGCCACATAAGATCAGTGCAGGTGAATGAGACCTCCAGCAGATCCTCATGTTAAACGCATCTCCGCTTCAATTTAGAGAACAATCCTCTCTGGTGGACAATGCCTACTGGCTGTGGGTATAGCAAAGACATGACATCCTCCCCCACCGCCCCACCCCCATCCAAGCCCCTACATGCACATGGGCCAAACTAGGCTACTAGAAACCCAAGCAGGACCGCATGACTGAAAACGCAGGAGGAGAACATCTGGCAGCATCTCCCCCCCCCCACCCCAGTGCGAGGCCTGAGAAATCTGAGCTGGGGCAGAAGGGCAGCCCCCAGTGCACGCATTACCCCACCCTACCCCCCACCGCCTGCACTAACGTCTACATCTGAAATCTTACGGCTAAACCTCGTGAAGAGGTCTCACAGTACCAAAATCACACCTTCACCGTGAGACGTCCTCGTGAGGAACAGCCTGTTACATTTACACTAAGGGACTATTCCTCGTGAAGAGGTCTCACAGTACTGACAACACAGCTACATTTAGGCTATGTCTGTACTAATGCATTGAAATTCCAAAAGAAAAGATCTGCATCCACAATAATGTTTTGACCAGCACTGAAAAATACAACTTCATTCCTATGAAGAATAACCAATTAGGAAAAGAGACATTGAAATGAAGAGAGCTAATCAGGAAAGGGTCACGAGCCAAGTACAAACCAATCAGAGCTCACTGATGTAGGCATAACAAAGTTTTTCACATTTATGGGCGCCCGCACTAATGCATTTACAGAACGATTAATTAGCACTGAAATTTCTCTGCTTCTGGGGAAAATGCGGTAAAAAAAATAAAAACTGCGTTACTAAACGAAAACGTATTAGTGCAGACATACCCTTAGACTAACAGGCTAGGCCTTCAACACCTGATAGCAGGAGATTTGCACATTTATCCACGGAGGGTACCCTCGTTAATCTTTACTCTCTGTGATCCTGTGCCTTCCCACAATCTTCCAAGCTTATCTGATGTCCTCCATCTCGTCGGCTTGTTTATTCACCATTAGTTATTAAAGGTTTTACTAAAACAAGCAACTCATACAAGTTAAAGAAAGGATGGTTTGAGTTACTGGCTACCAGGAGTGGAAATGGCTCATGATGCATATCTATCAATGTGTAGTCAATGGCTCTGGGTGTATCAAACCCCATGGAACCCCTACACAGCTACCCCCCCCCCCTGCTTGCTAGTGTGTTGTGGTGACAAACCACAATGCTGCTGTGAGACTTTAAGCCAGGGCTGGGAGGGAAAGTGGCAGAATGAGACCCGCAGGCAAGACGATCTGGAGCAGCCATGGTTCCGGTTCCCCTCCCGCAAGACCATCTCATCGGCAAAGCTGGAAGCTAACAGCTAAGCGCTAAAGACTATCCGACACCATCACACAGAGTCCCCCTTTGGGGGGGGGGGGGGGGGGGTCGCCTCCGTTGCCTGGATCTCCTGCCTTCGCCTTGGGAAGGGGGGGGGGGGGGGGGGGGGGGGGGGGCGCCGTCCTGCACAGGAACCCAGCACTTGCTGCCAGACTGTCCTCGCCTATCCACAGCATGGGCCTCAACATCGACTTCCGTTTCTTTCTTTTTTTATTTGACTGGAGAACAGAAAAAAGTCCTACAACAACAACAACAACAACAACAACAATACAAGAGCTTCGAGAGGAGAAGAGAAACACAGCTAACAAAGTAAAATGCTAAAAAAAACAAAACAGTGACATGAAAAATACCCCTAAACAAGCGTTTACGCTTATAAAGGAGTGTAAATACTAGAGGGCAGGATGCCAGAGAGCTACCCCAGGACAGACAAGTGTGAGGCATTTCCCATCAGGGACGGGGGCTTGAGAAAGGTACGGCCTCTCTACTCGACCGACCTGCCTTTTAACCCCGTAAGTGCCAGGGAAAGGAAGATGACAGCATGCGGCGGGCCCAGGCCAGCCTGCCGACGGGCCCGATACCCGCCAGGGACCGCCTCTGATCTGGGCGGGACATAAGTCAGGTATAGTTGGGCGGTGCTGGGATTCTTAAGAACAAGGAAAGTGTGAGCGTTACTCAGCCTGCAGAGAGTGTGAACGCTTAAGCCAGACCTCAGGGGTGTAACGGAGTGTGAAAAGGCCTCCTGCACTGTAGGGGGCACTGCTGGCTGGCTGGCTGGCTGGTTTAGAGTATCCCAGGGCATTCCCCCTCCCCCCGAGCTGGGACCTGCCCAGTACCATGGGGAACAGATGGGGCCAAACATCTACGAAGGCCTTTAAAAGCCCAGTACCCCTGCATGACGGTGACAGACAAGGATCAAGAGGACTTCCCAAGATGCACCGGGGCACCGACTGCCTCCGCTTCGAAGCGCATTCACAGTCCCAAAGCAAAGAAAGCCATGACCCTCATTCCACAAATTACACAGAATTCTGGGAGAGATGTCAAACGCACATGAGCAGTCTCTCTGAGGTAAGGTTACATTCCAGTGTCTTCCTTCAGGGGCAGCAGCGGGTCCTCATTCCCCGCGTGCCGGCGTCCCGCCGAACTCCCTTCTGCTAATGTTACTGGATCCCTTAAGAACATTCCTGAAAAGATGTGGTTAGCTGGTCCGGCCTTTTAGAACGACTTTTAAAATCAGCCCTCTGATGGCGGCCGGTTTTGTTTTTAACTGAACTGAATATGAGCTCCAAAAAAAAAAAATTAATAGTGCAAATGTAACAGTAAAATAAACAGCATTCCTCTTCAGGACAGCGCGATTACCGCTGCTCCACGGCAAGCGCTCTCCCTCCCAAGAAGCTCATGTTTCTGTTACTCAACGCTGAGGGAAAAAACACACACACACACACACACAGCCATCCTCTGCGTCCGGCACCCAGGCACACTAACCGCGAATAGTTCACCAGCCCACCCTGACCGCACGCTGCGGGGTCGACCCCGGAATGCTTTTCACGCGGCTTTTCTTCCCGTTAGCGGCCTGGAGTTCTCCACACCGGCTCAGGGAGGCGCTTGTCCCGGGGGATAAACAGGAAGATGTAGGAAATGTAAAAAAAAAAAAATGCCCCAAAAAGGGGGGCGACTCAGGCTTCCGCCAGGCCATGGGGATGAAACAGCTCAGCCATAAACGAATCCGCCGCTGACCTCGATTAGATCCGCACTTCCCCTTGCGAAGGCCAGCTAGGACCACGGGCGACTTCCTGTCAGAAGCTCTCATTCATGCGCCTGGAGATTAAAGCTACTGGGCTTCCATTCGGAAGCACCACTCCCCCCCCCTTCCCCCGAGGCCCATTATCTACGGCCAGACGAGCCCATGCCGCTTTGGGGCAGGTGGGAGATGAATGAAACACAAACAGGACGGAGCCATCACTGCAGGGGGGTGCAGAGGGGGATGACCTGGCGTACGTGGGCCAGATAATCCACTGCATGTCCTTGCGGAGGCCGCGTAGGTAAAGTGTCTCGCCTAACTGCAGGGGGCGCCACCACAGAATTTCGACACGCGCATAACAGAGCCGTCAGCTGTCGTACGGAATCACAATATTCCTGGATTATTAACAAAACAACTCATAGAAATAGTTCTGTCAGCAACGAGCCTTTGTTTTAGCCAGGATGAGAAGTCTTTGAAGGGGCCCTACTGGTCCTACCGACCAAACAGAGAGGATAGGCCAGAACCGGAATTAAGCGTTTCTTAAGGAGACCTCACCTTGTCTCTGGATGAAGATCCGGAGCAGGGGGTGAGCGGACGTCACAGCCTTGCAGAAGTTGTCGTCGTTGTTGATGGGCAGGAGGTCTCCGTGCACGTCGGCATACCCGATCATCACCTCCATGCTGGCGATCCGATGGATGTGCAGGATGAGCTTGTAAAACTCGTCAAACTTCCCCGGCTTCTGCCGGTCCACGGAAAACCTCCGGAATTCTGCCCCATACTGTGGAGGAGAGAAGGTGTCGGATGTTACGGGTGACTCTTGGAAATCCGGACTGGTGAGCCAAGTCTCACAGACTGCAGAGGGTCAGGGTGAAACTGCGAAGGAGACGATATTGTCTAAACAAGGGATTTAGGGGAAAAAAAAAACAGCTCCTGGCCTCCAAACCCGAAGGATATGGGTCGGCTGACCACAGCTGGAGGCATCTTCTCATCACACACGCTGCCAGCTGTCCACAGCAAACCTCAGAGCCCCTCACTCAACTTCTGCATCATTTATTTACAGACAACCGTTTCCTGTAAACAGTCGACCACACCACAAGAGAGAAACCTGGCAGAGTGAAAAGCACGAAAAGGCAAAATCCACCCGCGTTCAGCCTCAGCTGAGGCTGAGAGGAAGCTCACGTCTGAGGCAAAGGGGAGACATAAGGGTGGGGGG